GGGATTTAAAAATAGTTACGCAAAACAGAGCGTGCTGCTCTGATCGGTTTTAAAGGGTTAAAAAAAGAAGCTGTGTCTGTTTTCAGAGGTAAATCACGACACACTGCAAAGACATGTTTGATAATTCCTTCTAAAAATGACTCACATCAGGTGCTCGCCCCTCATTCACAAACCAGATGCAGAAACTGCCGCCGCTACCGTGAGGGTAAGGCTTTCTGAATCATCTGGTGAGGAACAGCACCCACCTGCACAGTCCTCATTATAAGCTCCATGTTTAGTTTGTGTAACGTGCTTTATTCACCGACTGCAATGAGGAGGACTCTGTTTATGATGGTGAAGAAGGCTCGGCGGAAACGGCACGTGAAGGACATCTTGGGATGAGTGGACTCCAGCCGAGCGATCGCAGACACCTCAGTCACCGGCTCATCCGGCGCCGCTCCCACCAGCCTGCAAACACCAGCACAGAAAGTGAGCGCATGTGTCGCTCTCACGGAGGCAGCGAGGAACTCTCCAAAGAGGCTGCACATTACCTAACGCCAACATCCTGGCCTTTTTGGATGATCCAGTCCAGAGATTCGTTAATTAAGCCTCTAAACGATTTATTTTGAGCCTGCACAGAAAGAAGAGACATGATTCTCATTTATTTTAAGCAATTTCTGCCGATTCACTCAAAGAGCCAGGTGCTATGATGTTTATACATGAAGACTGACATGTGCAAGCACACACGAGTCAGCTGCATTAACCTGGTTACTCCACATGGACAACAATCAGACTGCTGCCACTAACTGTGTGATAAAAGAAGGAACTGCTGACTTTTCCTATTGAATGTGTTGCTGTGTGGATGTACCAGTAAATACTCTGAGGCCTCGTCTATGGACACGCTCCGGTTTGGATGATTTGGGTCTCCACAGTCATGCTGGCCTGTAATCACAAGATTAAACTGATGATAATCTCGCTTTAATCCAACTTCCCCAGATCACCACACACACAACAACGAGCTGATATGAGCGGACAGACCACACAAACGTTAGAGACATCTGTGCTATATGTTTCTGTAAGGACGATAACACAGCCTGTTAAAATCACACATATTGGTAAAATCCCATAATGATCATGTCTGAAAATTTACTCTTAAATCAAATTTCCAAAGTTAAACGATGTAAAAATGGAGCAAATATGTTAAAATCTTGTGTTCACATTGGCTGATGTGGTAACTGTACTGTCATAAATCTAACACTGTGAAATAATCGTTGCCATAAACAGTTAATAAGAATTAACATCATTACCAGCAACAAAGGCCAAGTGGTCATGAAGACTGAGCAGCAGCTTCTGGATCACATCCTTCTGGAAAAAGAAACGATTATTTTAGAAAGTACCAACAAAACTGCGCTGATCTGCATATTTGTTCATTTTACTGACAAAATCTCTGCAGAGGAAAAGGACAGTACACACAGAGGGCGTGGCCAAACAGCAGCACGCCACTCTGTGCATTTCATGACCGAAAGATTCAAACACAACGAACATGTTGGGGATTTAAGTTCTTAAAAAACACGTTGTGAAAAGAGTCGACATCATCACAATGAGCAGAGACGTTTCTGAACAACAAAAAGGAAGAAAGACTCATGTTTCACGTTTCAGGTGGGCAGTGTGGCAGTGGGAGCTCTCGTTGGCAGAGCAGAGACTGGACGTGGGTTTGGTTTTAAATCGGTTTCCCAATTCAAATGGATTTTAGTTTGAATAAAGTTATTGATTCATTGAATCCTGAATGATTTTCAAATATAAAATTTGCCAGAATCTCAGGTCAAAGTTCATAAAAATATTTCAACAATCACCAAACGAGAGCAGGACATAAAGACGTAAACAGAGAGCGTGGATCGTTCACCCGATGGCACGTCCCTGCACGTCTCAGTGTACCCACAGACTGACCCTCAGTCACTGTCACAAAGGCCTCTGCTGTGATGCTCACACCTCTGATCAAGTCTCACACTGTCAGCTTTGTTTTTATACACAGATACAAACATGGAGATGTAAGAATAAATGATCAGAATCATAATACTTCTGAGTCAAAACTCCGTGACGACACCCAGCCCAGCTGAGGGCCCGGCCCAGCTGAAGGCCCGGCCCAGCTGAAGGCCCGGCCCAGCTGAGGCCCAGCCCAGCTGAAGGCCCAGCTGAGGGCCCAGCTGAGGGCCCAGCTGAGGGCCCAGCTGAGGGCCCAGCCGAGGAGGCAGAGGAATCGTTTCAGAGAGCTGACTGACCCCAAGCAGCGTCTAGATGTGTCTGAGGACAAACAGGATTATTTTACTATTTGCATCTTCAGAAATGGAGCACGTTTCGAGCCACGAGCGCACTTGTTGCCAAAAGTGCCAGAAAGTATTAGCACCAAATTTACCTCCACTCAGCAGCCATCTTTAATCCACTGTGGGTAGTTCTTATTTGAAGCATTATCTGAATAAACAGTAGATTCGTGGTCATGGTGCCATGTCATCAGGTGTCAGGCAGGTTATCTGACCTGCAGTTTAACAGTTGGACACAGGCCTCTGACAGAAATCGCTCTTCATGAGCTTTTTTATCTGCTGATGGTGCAGCTTGGTTAGCTTTAGGCAAAACACTACGTAGGTTTAGATATTCCAAACTAGAAAGCATCGAAGTAGCACTTTAACACTGTGTTGTTTTGTTTAAGCTGGTAAGTGCAGATACCCCACTCTGCTAATGACAGCGAGTCAACATCTGTCAGAACTTTAGGAACACTGGGATAAAGTGAGCTTCAATCGACTCCTGCTGGTGTCGTGCTGCCACCAAACTGATGTTTTTATTTTTGCATGTTTGTTGTGCTTAAATGTTTCAGATCTTATATGAACAAAGATAAACTGAGGAAACTGAAAATGTCATTTTCAGATGATGACATCATGTTTTTAAAAAGCTATCCAGCCTACACTGTCACACACTTGGACACGCCTTCTCATTTAATGCTTTTTCTTTATCTTCATGTGTCTGTATGCAGCTAACAAAGTGTAAAACAACTCAAAACATGTTTGAGATTCTTCCTTTGCACATGCTGGTATTCTCTGATGAGCTTCATGAGGTTGTCTGCGACGCTAACAAACTGGACGCTGTGCAACTTTGAGTCTAAAATATAAAACACATTTAGAGTTATTTATCAACTTTCTCTTTGCTACATAATTCCACACATCTCGTTTCATATATTTGATGTCTTCAGTTTGTATCTACAATGAAGAAAGCAGCAAAAATGAAGACAACATTAAATGAGAAGGTGTCTTCTGATTGGCCGTCAGTGTGGTTCTATGTAAAACTGCCCACTAAGCCTAATAATTGGTGACGCCATGATTTGCAGCAAGAAGTGCAATCGAGCATGTGTGATAACTGCCAATGAGCCGTTGATATCACTCTACAGGACTTCTGCAGACTTGTTTCTCATGTAGCCACCAAACCTGTTTGTTTTTACAGCCTCGATCTTTTTGCTAAGCAGTGGTTTTAGCTTCGAGCTCTCGTGGACGGCATTTTTACCCCATCTCTGTCTTATTGATGCTTCCCTAAGGGCACCAGTAAACCCTCCGTAGTGTTCGCATTGCTCACCGCCGCTGATTTTCCTGCTGTTAGGAGGCCGCTGCAGTACTCGTGTGAACAATAGGTGGCAGCACTCATGACATAAGTGTTGCTATAGGAAGGGAAGAAGTCAAAGCAAAGACTTTCCCAAGTGCCCATATTTCAAACAGCGGTAACAATCCCCTCTGCATACATGTCCATCAGAATGGGACGCCAACCTTGGCTAGGTTGTATTATTAATATTATAAAAACATATAGCTATGTTTTCATACTCAGATGACACCCAGCTTTATCAATCCATAAAATACGATGACAGGTTGTCTTAAAGACAAAGAGCTGAGTGGCCTCTAATTTCTTGCTTCTAAATTCATTCAAAACTGCTATTGTACTCGGCCCTGAAAATCTACAAACATGATGTAACCACATACTTTACACTGACTCCAGTAAAACCTTGGAGTTGTTGTTGATGAGGATTCAATGTGCAAAGAAAACAAATATGCAGGACTGCTTTCTTGCATTGGTGCAATATTTCTAAAATTAGAAACATCCCATCTCTGAATAACGCTAAAAACTGGCTCGTGCGTTTATTACCTCCACACTGGATTACTGTGATACATTATTGTTCAGTTGCCCTAAAAACTCCCCTAAAAGCCTTCAGTTGATCCAAAGCGCTGCAGCCAGAGTGCTGTCAGGGACGAGGGCATTGATCTCTCACCGGCTTCTCTTCGTGGCTCCAAGTTCATCCCAGAATCTAACTGAAAATCTTTCTCCTCACATACAGGCTTTAAGACCTCATAACAATATCATCTCAACAGAGCACTTCACTCTCAGACTGCAGGCTTACTTATGGTTCATATTAAAAAGTAGAATGGGAGGCAGAGCCTTCAGCTTTCAGGGCCCCCTCCACTAAACCAGCTCCCAGTTTGGCACAGAGATCCTCGCCACCTTTAAGATTAGGCTTCAAACTTTCCCCTTCGATAAAGCATCTGGTCAGGGATGGATCCGGTGACCCTGAACCCTCCCTTAGTTACAGTGCAATAGGCCACGGTTACTGTGGGCTTCCCATGATGCACTGAGTGTTTCTTGTTCGCTCACTGTGCTTACACACCTCTCTGTATGTAATCATTATTTATCTATCATCGTTTGCTCTTTTCCACGTCTTTCGCCCATCACCCTCCCCTGGTTCTGCCAGAGGTTTCTTCCTGTTAAAACGGTGTTTTTACTTCCCACTGTTCCACTGTGTGCTTGGTCACGGGGGTTGTTGGGGTTGTCTCTGTATAGGGTAGAGTCTCTACCTTACAATACAGAGCACCTTCAGTAACTGCTCTTGTGATTGGTGCCATATGAATAAAACTGAATTATTGTTGAATCATAAACACTGTCCTGTACTGAGGCACGTGAGTCCAGCAGTTCTTGAGAACCTTTTTTGTGACGTTCTGCATGACTATCTGATAACTCTGTTTCTCTCGGTAGGCGTCCACTCCTGGGGAGTTTCATCACTGGTTCAAGTTTTCTTCAGTTGTGGATAATAGCTTTCACCACAGTTTGCTCCCAAAGCCTGGCTTTGTAACCCTTTTCAGACTGATGGATGTCAGAGTCTGTTTCTTACCTGTTCTTACGTTTCTTTAAATTGTAGTTAATTAATGATTAAACAAGGAGGCGATTACTTTTCAACATACGGCCCATTAGATCTGTTTTCAGATCAAATCCTCATTTATCATCTTGTACCAACTTGGATTATCTGATATCTAATGTCACAATTTAGTTGATGATCTGAAACGTGTGACAAATACACCAGAAAATAAATAAATCAGCATTAGAATAAAGCATTGCAAGTTACTGAAACGGTACACACTGTTAATCTAATCATATTTTCTGTGCTGTACATTTGAAAACCTCTTAACTTAAAGAGTAGGGAGAGCCTGAAGAAAGCATTTACTTACATTAGGTGTGTCAAACTCTGGGGGAGGGCTATTAACTGAAAATGAAGAAGAGACAGACAGTCAGGACAATTCTCATACAAGTTTCCAAAGTGCACGGATTGAGAAAAACATCCATAAATTACTTTTTCTGTTAAATATAAAACTGTTAGTGTGTGCATTCGTAGCTTTTGCACATTCTGCATCATTTTAAGTGTAACGTGATTCTTTTGATGGTCACATAATCCTTTTATCTGTAGGGGCACAAAAACAACTCCTCAGAAATCGGTGGAAGTGGATTTGGAGCACCGTCCCCTTGTTCTGTGCTCGGGCAGACTGACTGTACAGACTCCTGCCAGTCTAAAAATGCTCATCTTTGGATCTGTTTGTATTTGGGAATCTCTCCAACTTTGGTGTTTGTTCAGCAGGAACATCCACTCAAAATACACAAAGAATAAACACTTGAATACATTACCAGGCAATAAAACAACTACATGCATTATAGTCCCTAAACAGCCACAACTTTAACACTCCAAATAGGCAGATACTCACTGACGCTATCCACCTCCATGGCTCCTGAACCCCTCATCCTGAGGTACATGAGGCCCAGCAGCACGAAGAAGAGACACGCCGCTGTGAGCAGGAACATGGACAGGTAGTGAGCGCTAAAACTACCCGAGGAAGCTAGCTCTTCCCTTTTGAACTGCTGGAGAAGCTCGTCTTCGGGAGCAGACACGTTCCTCTTGAGCGCTGCGTGGCCGTAGGAATGGTTGGGAGCAGGGGTGTGATTAGAGTGGTTGCGCCTGTACGTCTGCGACAGACCGCTGTAGGTGGAGAAGCGCGGTCTCAGCTCGGTGCTGTTGCTTCTGGATGCGCCGTCCTCCCCGGTGGCCGGACTGTTTTTACCGGTGTTTCCTTTGTGGTTTTCGGTAAGTGACCTGTAGATGGGTTTCCTTGGAAGTGTGTGACTCCGCGAGTCTCCCAAGCGGCTAAAGTCCCTTCTCCTTAAATCATCTTCCTCCTCATCCTCACCTTGACTCCCCCCCATGCTTAGAAAACGACGAGGCGTCGCTTCTGTGTTCTGCCCATCGGTCGCAGACCCTCGACCAGTAACGTCGGAAGATAACGCCACACCGGGGTGGTTTCGTCGAGGCTCCAATCTGTCGCATTCTGGCCCACTAACTTCCTCCTCGTCCGAGTCTGAGTAATCTCCAGCTAATTTGCTAGCATTCAGGCGAGACGCCCCGCGACCATTTAAAGAGCGAGATTTCTTTTCCATATCCTCCTCATAATTGTCCTCGTCCCCGGAGTCGTCGTAACGCCGTAGTCCCGCATCGGGACTGGGTCTGTCACCGACTCCCCAGCCCAGTGAGACACGTCTCTCTCCGTTCTGACCCAGGGAAAAATTGCTGCTCGGTGTCGCGCTGTGGTCGTACCGACTCTTGATAGCCACACTCGGCGGTGAGGCAGGCCTAATCTTAGGCTGCTGTTGAGAACCGGAGCTTCTGTTCGCTCTGCCGCTGTGACCGAGGCCTTTCCTCTTTAGTGGGCTTTCAGCATCAGACTCGTCGGAGCTGAAGCCGAGGAGGGAGGACTTCCGGCCCGGTCTCCTGCTTGTATTCAGGTGCGTGACGTCATGGCTGACTGGCCTAGATGCCACTGTGCTACCGCCGCCAGTGGTACTGTTAATGGCACCGATAGTACGGGTTTTACCGGGTCTTAGTCCTCGCTGCTGTTGCTCCTCGCGAAGCTTCTTGAGTTTCTTCAGGTACACCGGACGAGTGTTCTCAGTAACGGGCCCTGGAGTGAAACCAAAACGTTTTAATTCCAAAAAAAGCTCCTCATCCGTTAACTGCGTTGACGCCATCTTGAAAAGACCTCGAAGACGGTTCTGTGACGGAAATGACGTAGAGGTGAAGTGGCAACAGACTGGGCTGTGTTCAAAATCACCAACAAGCTGCGAAAATGTCGCAGACACCCCCCTTTATTACGTCGCGGATGATTTCAAATAATGTTTTGTTTCATATTAAATATCTAATTACTTTTTCAAACAAATAGCTTTATTGAACGTTTTATTGAACAAACAAACAAAAGTAACCATCTAACAACTGAAGGTAACAACGAAAAACATACAACTTAAATATGAAAAATATAAATAAATACAAATCACAGAAAAAGGAAAAAGAGTCAGAGAAAATAATCACGTTAAATCAAAATTGTTAAATAATGAAAGTAATTCTCGTTTGTTTGTTTTCTGTTTTTTAAACAATTGTTGTTGTTATTTTTTATTTAAAAATTCCACCTTACCACTCAGTGAATGGAGTAAATGGTCCAAAAAATGACCGAGAACATCTTCAGAGACTGGATGAAGTCCTGCAGCGATTAGAGGAGGCGTCCCTGAGTTTAAATGTCAGTTCACAGAGAAGGAAGTGACATTTTTAGGACACCGGGTGGATAAGACAAGTTTACATCCAGTGCTGGCTAAAGTGAAAGCAGTGCAGGGGGCGCTACCCCCAAAACCAGTGACAGAGCTCAAAGCTTATTTGGGGTTGTTGAACTACACAGCATTCTGATTTTAAGCCCCACAGACTGAGACATCAGGAGATGAGTGTGCAGGGTGGGTGTGTGCTGTGGGGGGCAGATCGAGGTGGACGCCCCCTGTTAGAACAGCTACATCAGTCACAACCAGGAAAAGACGCATGAAGGGCCAGAAGCTCATGTGGTGGCCACATATGGAGACTGACACTGCAGACAAGGTGAAGTACTGCAGTACTTACTTTACACAGTAAGTACATTACTGTACTATATATATGTATATATGTACTGTATATGTACATGCACACACATATTTAAATATATATAGGAAAGCTGCAACCACCAAGTACCTGCAGAGGGTCAGGCAAGTCCTGAGGAGGGAAGGAAGGGGGCCGGGGACTGGTGAGTGTCAGCACCACAGTCCAGGATGAGACAACGAACATCCAAGAATACATCATGAAGATGGCCCCAACTGACAGCGTGCTCAGTGAATACCTCAGGCAGCAGAAACCCGAGAAAGAGGAGGGAGACGAGGAACCATCATGGAAGGACAGGCCCCTGCACGGTATGTACCACCGGCAGATAGAGGAGGTGGCTGATATCCAGAAATCCTACCAGTGGCTGGACAAAGCTGGACTGAAAGACAGCACAGAGGCACTAATCATGGCAGCACAAGAACAAGCTCTGAGTACAAGATCCATAGAGGCTGGGGTCTATCACACCAGCAAGACCCCAGGCTGTGTAAAGATGAGACAATCCAGCACATAACAGCAGGGTGCAAGATGCTAGCAGCAAGGCATACATGGAACGTCATAACCAAGTGGTCGGCATAGTGTACAGGAACATCTGTGCCGAGTATAACCTGGAAGTCCCGAGGTCAAAATGGGAGACGCCCCCAAGGGTGGTGGAGAATGACTGAGCTAAGATCCTGTGGGACTTCCAGATACAGACGGACAAAATGGTGATGGCTAACCAAGCTAGGCGAGTGGCTCCAGCAGATCCCGGGAACAACATCGGAGATCTCTGTCCAGAAGAGCGCAGTCCTGGGAACAGCTACTGCAGGACCCTCAAGCTCCCAGGCCTCTGGTAGAGGACCCGAGCTGGAAGGATAAACCGCCCACAGGGGCGAGCTGGGTGTTTTTATATATGTCTTCAAGTGCTGTGTTGATTTCCTGTCATACGCACCGTGGTCTTGGAGGAACGCTGTCTCGGTTCACCGTATGCTGCACCACTGCACATGGTTGGAAATAAAGCCACTTGACTTGAAAATATATTTTTGGATTTCAAAACAAAAGTTCCCAGTTACTGTTGAACATGCCTAACATGGTTAGCAACATGTTAGGCAGGCGTGTTACTCTGAAGGAAGATTTCTGGGCCTGGATGTTGAACTTCTGGCTTTCGGGTTGTGATCATCACATCTATTCCACATTTCTCTACAAGCTTCTCTGTTGTTTTTGCTGTTTACAGATATAACCTATAACTGATTTTAATGTCTTACAAGACCGAACAAACTTCAATCATATGTCATGTGTCAACAGATAAAGTTAAACTTAATGCACACAGTGCTGTTGTTCATTAGCACACACATTTACTCAGATCAACAGATTAACAGCTCAGTTTTAATCAAGTTAAATGAATCTAACAATCATATACAATCATTATATAATCACACACATAAAGACAATGATTTCACCTCATTGTTTAAAAAAAGTCTTTTTCATGTATAGACTTCAAAAACAACTGAAACACCATGAATTTAAAACAAGAAGCTCATAAATTAAAAAGTAAATATCAAAATTTTAGAATTTAGATATTTATAAATCAGCAAGTATTCATCTGGCAGACATTAACAGGGAGAGTCTGTGGTGACTCAGCAGGAAATCTTCTGCATAACAAATTAAAACAGCAGTCGTTCACAAATGTGCACAAAGGTTTTGCCTCCTTCCTAATTTTTCTTTCTGCGTATTTGTCACATTTCAGATGTTGTACAACAGTCATATAAATAAATACATTTTAATATTAGGAAAAGATCACCTGAGCAAATATAAAATGAAGTTTTTAAATTCTAATTTCATTTAAATCCATGTCATGAACTACTTGACGACTACACCCAATAACTGCTCGTGTCACCCTCAGAGCTGCAATCAAGCGTTTGTGATAACTGCCAGTGGGTCTTTGTTATCACTGAGGGACTTCACTCCTCTTTGCAGATTTGTCATAATTTAACAAACTGGAGGGTTTCAGACACGAACCTGTTCACATCCTGCCAAAGCCGCGGCTCTCAAAGGGACACGCTGCTTTACATCGTGACGTGTTGCTTTTCTCTCAGCCTACTTAAAGATCTGCAAAGTTAAACAGACCTTTTCTGTATTTTCACCTTTATTTCAACGTCATGTACAGTTTATATAATTACTTATCAGCATCGTTCCACGAGCACGTTTGGAAAACTGACAAAATTATTATTCATTTTAAAGACGTGCTTAGATTTTCTAACAAAGCCAATGTTGTTTGCAAATCTTTGTGTGCATCATTCAGAATCCAAATTCAGGAAGGAAATACTGACCAATCAGATTTGTGCACACACACGTCTGTGAACAAATCTGATTGGTCAGCATTTCCTCTCAATGATTCCTGCATTTGCATCCATGCAGCTCTTCTGTCAGTGTCAGGCTGTCTTCACCTGCAGAGCTGCTATTTAAATGAAACGAGCTGCATTAGAGGCAGACGAGCTGCTCGTTGGCTCCATATCAAATGAGGCAGTGAGGCCTTCCTCCATAAAACGACGAGTACTTGTTGGCTTTACAAGACAGAAAAACTGATAATAATCACAACGCTGGTTAATTCTGGGTTTCAAACAAACAGAACAACAGAAAGAGCTTAGCAAGAACACACCGATCGTTTTAACAGTTACAAAGGTCAATAATGGGATTTTTGGTGCACCAACATCAACACTCACACAAGCATAAATTAATCACAGAACAGGCAAATTGTGGGTTTGCAGCTCTCAGTGCTTCTTCATCGAGTCGAGGACGCGCAGAATGTGCAGGAAGAGGTTGACGATGTCCAGGTAGAGGTTAATGGAGGCCAAGATGTGCTCCTCAGGAGAGAGCTGCTTCATCAGCACGCTGGTGTCGTAGATGATGAAGCCACAGAAGACCAAGGCGCCAGCTCCAGCCAGGAACAGACCTGCATCGTCACTGTGGAAGAAGAGCTGCAGAGAACAGAGCACACGGGGATTTAAAGCGACTCCCATCGGTTTGCTTCTAAAGCCAAACCACCGCTGCTCTGCGTCCACCTCAAACTCTTATCTAATACCATCATCCTCGACGGTCTAGCGATTAGGCTGCTGTAACGTCCCACTTGGATCGAAAGCTTCCTGACAGATCAGAGAACCTTCAACCTTGTTCAGCCGACTGCTCTCTGGAGGTAAAGCAGCAGCACGCTCCTCACACTGACAGCACCCAGCAGCAATACTGTGTTTGATTTCACCAACGTGTCTGTTTTGTTTCGTCGTGTTTATAGCCCGCGTTAAACTTCACTCTGACATCTTATCCTATACAAGGAAAAGCAGCAGAACAAAGGCTTTAAACTAGGAAGTCTTCTGCACTACGAGGCCTTTTATTTCAACAAGCCCTTTACCCCAGCAGGCACGTAAAAGACCAGCTCTGCAGTTTGCTCTCTTCACAACAGGAAACTACAGGTTTCATTTGCCTGCTGTGCTTCTGTGCACGTCGTCTGCTGCTTGCTGTTTCTACCTGTGACCAGTTCACCTACTGTGGCTCGGCAAAGGTTTGCTGTGGAAAAAAGTCCAACATTACAATTCTAAACTAAACTTCTTTACACTGGTGCACAGCCCATGTGTAGGGGATTTAGCTTAGCTCAGAAATAGCTTTCTGTAGTTTGTAACTCGTTGGCCTTTGTTCCTCTTTCATTAGGCCCATGTGACACTGACATCCACTCACCCTCATGAAGGTTCCAATGATGAGGATCCACAGACAGGAGAAAAGCCTGCAGGGATGAAACAGACACTCAGTTTGTCTGAGCTGCACGTCAGATAGGACATCAGTGGAAAGCTCGTATACATTTATAGCTTCAGATTGAAGGTGTTTCGTGTCGTCACAACTTTCAAAATCTACGAATGTTATATTTACATATTATCTCATCTGCACATTACATCTCGTGTGTGATCAGGCAGCACATTGAAGGAGCTCGGACTGGACTTTGTTAAGTTTCTTTGAAGACGTTTCATCCGAGAAGCTTCTTCAGTTCTAAGAGCAACAGGTGGAGAGTCGCAGATTTGAAGCCCTGTGGGACCCAAGAGGGTCGTGGACCCCCTATTGAGCCTCCGCCCAAAAGGCTTAACATCTGTGACTCTCCACCTACTAGTCTTAGAACTGAAGAAGCTTCTCTGATGAAACGTCTTCTTAAGTCCAGACGCTTTCCTGGCCGAGCTCCTCAGACTGCGATGAGCTGGATGAACCTTCAGACATTTAAAGAGTCCCATCAGAACTTACCAAGCTCCCATTTTGCTGAAATCTCTTTTGGACTGAAAGGTGTAGGCTGTTAATACAGCGAACACAGCACAGGTGAGAAACAAAGCTTGCAGTATTGTGGAGTAATCATAGAAGGTGACTGTGGAGAGAAAGAAATCCCATCAGAGCCTGGAAGACTGGAAGACTGGACACTAACAGAATGAAACTCTAAACACTTACGAGCTGTGGCAACAGACAGCGCCTCCAGAAGAGTCTGTAAGCAACACAACAACAGCCATCATTAAACCAGCAGTTACTGAGGCTGCAGCCGCTCAGCAAATTTAAAAAATATATTCAAGAAACTGAAAACAAAACTTACAAATGCAAACAGGAGGTAGAGGTTAGCTGGATGTTGGTGCCTGTACACAGCTAGAGCCACCAGAAGAACCAGCGAGAGCAGAGATGAAACCATCACCACAGCTGGGCTGAGGAAGCAACCAGGTCACAGTGAGACAACGAGGAGAACCAAGCTTCATAGAGATTATGTGCAAAACACTCGGAAAACTAAGGATCATTTTATAACAGCAGGTAGCACAGACAGCCCGCTGTGGACAGGCGATCAGACTACATGCAGCCACTCATCACCTCTTAACACTTTGCTCGGAAAAAGAGAAATAAGAGAAACAATTTACTGAACCCTGCAAACAGAAATGGAATTACAGTTTACAGGCAAAACTGGTTTCTCGTGGATCTATACCTGTACCAGGCTGTAATCACAGCAGATGAAGACTGGTGAATCACACCATCTTTTGTTTATGTTTATTTCATTGCTGTACTGTAAGAAGTGTTAGTTTTTTTTGTGTTTAAAGACTAACCATAAGGCAGTGCACCTAAAAGAGCTGTGAGACATTGTGCAAATGTGTAACGTTGCTGTCTATACATTTGCAGCAGTAAAGACGAACTCACAAAGCTACACTGCTTTTGATTCATATTAATCCAAGTGTGCAGCATAATGACAAAGCAAATCTAATATTTGCAAGAATACGATGACACTATGATACAACAACATCAACTCTGTCTCTTTGAAACTGCACAACACTGAGATAAGAGATTTTCTCACGTATTTGCTGGCATCACTAAATATTACACATATTGAGGAGGCGGAGTTAACCATGACTGCCAACTCCTGCGTAAACATGGATGATGTAATGAAAGCAGACGAGGAGCTTCCGCAGGAGATAATGTAACTTCAGATTCTCAGCACCTGGTTATGTATTAAGCAGCTCATTCTCACCTTGCGATAACAAACTCCTTGATGGTCTGAGAGAACATGAAGAGAGCAGAGGTGGCTGTGGTCAGGATGATCTGCAAGCTCAGGAGGGTGTACACCTTCCTGAGAAAGCCTAACGAACCAAGAAACAGCGTTACAGTAGCTCAAAACCCATCGGAAGGTAACGAAACCAATAACAACTGTGTAGAGGAAAACACGGCCAACGATATCAGTGTTAGCTAGATAGCGCGGGTCTGCTACTCACCCATACGGATCTGAACACTGGCCGTAGCAACATTAGTGCCATAGTTAAAATCGTCTTCGATAGAAGACCGCGGGTATTTTTCACTGCTCATCTTGATAAACCAGCGTTTTCTTGAGCTGTTCTTGTTTCTCAAGCTACGTAGTCGTTTTACGGAAGAGCAGAGTCCCTTTCGTCTTCTAGATTTTATCGGCTGTTGGCAAACAACTGAA